GTTGTGGTTCTTGTTGTTGTTGTTGTTGTTGTTGCTGTTGTTGTTGCTGCTGTTGTTGTGGTTAGGGTTGTTGTTGTTGTTGTTGCTGCTGTTGTTGTTGTTGTTGTTGTTGTTGTTGTTGTTGTTGTGGTTGCGGTTGTGGTTGCGTTGTTGAACATTATTAATTCTAAAGAATAATTATTGTTGGGACCCCTGGTGCACGGCCCCCCTGCGCCGCCTAGGCCGCAGCTACATTTTCATCATTTTCGTGAGGAAGCCAAGATCCGGTTGTTTTGTTCCCCCCCGCTTTCCCTTGCAAAAAACACTATAAAATGACATTTCTTGTTCTAATATAATCAAATTTCAAGAATCCTTTGCAAAAAATAAGGTAAAGTGGACATTCGCGCGCGCAAGACGAAATCCTTCCAAAAGCTTAGTTTTCGGAACGATTTTAACATAAAAACATCAAAAAACCAATGGTTTTTCAACAAAAAATGTCAAAATCTCATCCCGCGCGCTCTTGCGGATTCGTAGGAAAACCAACACTTTTTCAACATTTCTGTCAAACGGGCTTTTGCGAGCAACTTTTTCGAACTTTTGCGACAACGGTTGCGCACCTGCCAGGGCCATCATCCCTGTCAAATAATACCATGCGGGACAGATTCGTTTTTTCTTCGCGCGCGCACGCCGAAATCTCCAAAAACCATTGGGTTCTTAAGAATTTTACCACCGAGCATCATAAAATCACACGAATCGCACCGTAGGTCCTCGAAAAACAGCTGCACGACTTTTCAAAATTTCCACCCGCGCGCGCTGTCCGAATCCTAAAAAAAAAAAACAATGGTTTCCCAACATTTATGTTACATGAGCTCGCGCGAGCTACTTTCGCACGCTCTTGCAACGGGGTTCGCGCGCCTGCCAGGGGCCATAATCCCTTGCGGTTGCGCCATAGGTTGCGCCCTCGGCCGCCGAGAATAAAACGCCCCCCTATTGGTTGCGCCATAGGTTGCGCCCTCGGCCGCTGAGAATAAAACGTCCCCCTACTGGTTGCGCCATAGGTTGACCCAAAAATGTGACCAACTCCGCTCTCTCTGTCTCTCTCTCTGTCTGCTCTCTGTCTCTCTCTCTGTCTCTCTGTATTATGTATTGTATGGCACAATTGCACCATGCTGGGCACATGCGCGCCCCGAATAAGTGACCAAGTTCTGTGGGTGTGTTGTACCCCACGCCAGTGTAGTAGCCACGGTCGTCCGCACGCCACGAAGTGAAGTGTCCCAACGTCATAGGGCGGGAAGCTGGGTTTGGGTGGTCGCGAAGAGTCGTTTGGATATTTGGTATAGCTTTTAATGCCCCCCCACGAAGTGGGGTATTAGCCGGTGTCGTTTGAAAAACCTTGGCACTGGGCGAGAACACCACCGCGTTCGGGTATAAAAATGATTGTTGTTGTTGTTGTTGTTGGGTTGTTGTTGTTGCTTTTGTGTTTGCTGTTGTTTGTCCGTGGTTTGTGCTTGTGGTTTGTCTTGTTGTGGCTTGTGGTTTGGCTGTTGGTGTGGTTGTGGTTGTGGTTGTGGTTGTGGTTGTTGTTGTGGTTGTTGTGGTTGTTGTTGTTGTTGTTGTTGTTGTTGTTGTTGTTGTTTGTTTGTTTGTTTGTTTGTTTGTTTGTTTGTTTGTTTGTTTGTTTGTTTATTTGTTTGCCGTCTTCCTCGAGTGCTCCGCATTTTTCCTTGTTTTTTTTGTTGGTTCGCGCCGCCGATCCTGCCCTCCCCTGCCCGTCGTGCCCGCGTGCGCCGCGGGCGTGGCCCCGCCGCCGGCTCGGCCCCCCCCCCCCCCCCCGCGGGGCCCGGCGCTCCGCGGGTCAAGAGGTTCTGGGGCTCCAGCTGGGCAGTGCTCTGGCGATCCCGTTTTTTTTTTTTGTTGTTGTTTGTTTTTCCTCTCATTTTTTCATTTCTCATAGGTACTATCATGACTCTTCTTCTTCTGCTTCGTCTTCTTCTTATTATGCTTCTTCTTCTCAGTCTCGTTCGTATCATTACTGTTGTCGTCATCGTCATCATCATCGTCATCATCATCCTCATCATCCTCATCATCATCATCATCATCATCATCAACATCATCATTTTTATCGTCATCGCCATCATCGTCATCATCATCATCATCAGTATCGTCATCGCCATCATCGTTATCATCATCATCGTCATCGTCATCAGCATCATCATCATCCTCATCATCATCATCATCATCATCGTCATCGTCATCATCATCATCATCATCATCATCATCATTGCTATTATGCGTTGCCGGCATCATTACTGTTATTATGACTACCATTTGCGTGTTTACTCTTATTCCTCTGGCTACTATTATTTTCAATGGTGTTCAACGCCTGTTTTAATTGTACACGGTATACCCACACACAACACAAGCAGGGGCGGAACGAAGACGGAGCGAGGGAAGAGGAACACACACCGAGCATGGAAGGCACTGCCGGCGATCGGGAAATCTGCGACAGCGTGCCGCTCCGCCGCTCCTGGCCCACCGCGCCTCGGTGCCTCGCGCTGCCCACTTCGCGGCCCGGGAGCCGTCCGCGTGCCGAGCTGCTCCGGGCATCCGCCGTGCCGCGGAGCGGCGCGACGCGCTGGCCGCTCGCCGGGCCTCGCGCGTCGGCGGTGCCGCCGCCGCGACGCGCTGAGCAGAAGTTCCTGGCCGCAGGTGGAGCCCTGAAGTTCTGCGGTGCCTTGTCGGCGCGCACGGCTGGGTGGTGCGGGGGTGGGCGGTGCGAGGTTCTGCACGAACGAGACGGGTACGGAAAGGATGGGTACAATGCCCGACAGCAGTCCCTGTTCATTTTGAACAGGACTCGCTGTCCACGCCGCCGCGGCCTGTGTCCATTCGAGACAGAAGGCCGCCTGCCCAACAGCGGCCGCTGTTGGTTTAGGACTACATTAGTTGTTGGGCATTGTACCCATTCTTTCCGTGCCCACGTCGGGCGTCCAAAGAGGTGGGCGGTGCGAGGTGGGCTTTCTTGGAGAGCGGGTGGCTTCTGAGCGGCCCTCCCGGCTTCCAAGGACTCCGTGTCTGCTGATCACGCGAGGGGCTATCACAGGTCGCAGTGATCGGGGGGCCGTGGTCGCCGATCACGTGATGGGTCTGGCCTGGTCACGCGATCGTCCGAGCTGGAGCGCGCGATCGGTCCGTGATGGGCGCGCGAGCCATCGTGATCGGGGTTGTGATCGGATCACGTGATCGGGCGGCGTTATCGGCCGAGTGATCTTCCAGACGCTGAGCTTCAGTGCGGAACGGCTCGCCTATGGCAGGTTGGCCTGAGCGCTGCTCCAGGTGTTTTGGAAGACTCCTGCGCTGCCCTTTCCCCTCTCTCCTGCTTCCTTCTTGCTCCTCCTCTTCCCTCTCCTCCGTGGCTGGTGCTTCGCATGTTGGAGGCCCCTCACCCTCAGTGGGGAAGCTGACAATTTTCAGCATCATTGCGCTGGGTTCGTGGAACTGATCTACAATATCCACTGCTCCCTGGCCAGGCCCCTCCTGAACCAAGCAGTTGTGTATACGCCCCCCTGGCCAAGCCAGGACGGCGTGGCGTATACACCGCCGGCGGGTTCAGGATGGGCGTGGCCAGGGAGCAGCGTATGTGTATAAATCTCGCCGCTCTATGGAAAGACGGGCAAGACACGACGCTTCCAACAGGCCCTCCCCGAGGCATCCGGGCCCATGCCCGAGGAGGCCACCGCCCTCCAAGCGCGGCCTTGCCTTTTCCGGCGGCCGTT